GCCCTCGCCCTGGCTGAGGAGGGGCCCCGAGTCTTATGGACGAAGCCCACTAGAGGTGGGGGCAGCAAATGGAAGGTAGATCTAGAGGAGGAAGGAGGCTTGGTGGAGGCTGGGAGCCTCCTTGGGGTGGCTCTAGAAGCAGGTGGGGCAAGGGAAGGGAGGAGAGATGTGCAGGGTGGTCAGCAGGGCACCGAGCAGTGGCTTTAGGAGAGCAAAGAGCCCAGCCTGGGAATCTTGGGCTGGGTCCCCAACCGGTGCTGGCCACCTGACCTAGGTAAGTGGAACCCTTTCAGGTCTCAGCCTCTCATTTGCATGTTATACACCTGTCAGAGCACCTGGTCCTGGGACCTCAAGCCCCATGGTGCAGGGCTGTGTCCTCATGGGTCTTAGCAGGCTTTTAGTGAATCTCTATTAGATGCAATGATTTTGGGAAAAAAAAAAAAAAGAGTACAGCAGAGGAGGAGCAGGAAGGGATGAGGGTGGGGGTGGAGAGGCCCTGCCAGGCAAGGCGTGGAGGTCTGAGCTGCCGAGAGGAGCTGGCAGTGCTGGTGAGGATTAGCTCGGGAGAGAGGCGAGGGCCCAGCGGAGCCTGGCTGCTGCTGGCTGAGCTGGCATCTGGTTGAGGACTTATCTTTAAGGACAGGAGCCCTCTGGACTTGCTCCAGACATGGAACTCTCCCGAACACTCCTGACGATGGATGGGGGTGGGGGGAGAATTCAAGCCTGGGCTTTCTCTAGGGGAAGCAGAAAGCCTGGCACTCACCCCAGTGCTCCTGCTAGGGGTCTTCCCTTCTGTCTCTGCCACGCAGACGGGCAGTCAGGGGTGGGCAGGAGCCTTGTTAGCAACCACCCTGGTGCTGCCTCATATAAACTGGGGCACAGAGACGGCAACATATTGGCTGAGGCAAAACAGAATTGGCCCACCTATAAAATGTGTTCCCTTCGAGGTCTGGTTTGGCAGGTACAGAGTTGTGGGAGATGGCAGCTCAGAGCCTATTGGATGAGAAGGTAGACAGGTACCAGCCCAGGTCACAGAGCGAGCAGCTGATGAAGCGTGGGGTTCAAGGGGAGAATTCCATCCTGCCTTCTCCGTCTGGGTGAGGAGACAAGATGTCCCTGGGTCTGGGAATTTTGTTCCTGGACAGCTTGCAATCCAAATCCAGAGTCCAGAGCTTGGTGGTGGCTTAGAGAAGGGGATTTTCTGTAGGGGTGCAGGTAGGGAATGCCTCCGTCCACCAATAGCCAGCTGGGCAATGTCCCAGGCTCCCAGGCTGCTCTGGAAATGGAGGGGCCAGAAGATGCCAGGCTTGTTGGCAGTGTGGCAGCCCCACTCTTGGGGATGGGGAGAAGATGGAATTTGAGAAGAGGCACTGGGCAGTGGTCCAGCATCTTTGGCTATTCCTGGCAGTGCCACCTGGATCCCAGCTGCTCTGGGCCAGTCTGCCACCACACAGTGCCCATCCAAGCCGCTGACTCCCAAGCCTGGAAGCTGCCTGGAGCAGCTACCTCTTCCGTACCCTTAGTCACACTGCAGATGGGAACCATCCACCTCATTACCCTCAGCCAGGTGCCCTGGGACACTGACCCTATGGAATCCCTGCCTCCTCTCGCTCCCTTGTCTAGCTGCCTGTCTGCACTGAGGTCCCTACCAGCCATGACTGCACAAGCTCAGAGGCCAGGTGAGGGTGGCCAGTGCCTTTTTCCCAGGGGTCCTGGGCATCCTAAGCCAAGGTGGGAGGGAGTGAGGACTGACAGGTGTCTGCACGTGCCTGGAGATCCCACTGATCCTCACGAAAACCACCAGGAGTGCCTATCATTAAGCCCATTGTGCAGAACAGGAAACCGAGACCCAGAGGTGGTAGTAGCTCACCTGAACAGAGCCATGGGGCTTTATGGCAGTGGAGCCAGGACCCCAATGCAGACCTAACCACATTGTCCCTTCCTCATTCACCATCCCCACCAGAGGCTTGGTGCCCACTCAGTGTGATGCACGTGCTCAAAGAAAGACTGGGGGGATACAGGGGGAGGGGCTGCAAATTCAGATGGGAGATACCAGGGACGGCTTCACAGAGGTGGGGCATGTGCCAAATAAACAGTGACCTAGGCAGTAGGAAGAAAGAGTCTGGAGGGCACCTGCAGCAGAGCTGGTGGCAGAACAGGCTTAAACATCCCTCAAGAACATTGGGCTATATATCCTGTAGTTCTTATCCCTGTGGATGTGACAATTGGATTAATATTGGTCTCTTCTATCAATTTCTGAGCTCCATAAACCCAGAGGGAATGACTTTTTATTTATTTATTTCCAGTTATAACCAAACCTTAGTAGACTTTGGAGAATGCTAGGTACTCAGTAAGGAGTGATCAGTTGCATGGGTAGTGCCTCCTTCATCTGTGACCCTGCAGACCCCTCTGCCCTTCTTCTGCCCCTCCCTTCCTTGGTATCCAGCCCTCCTTGCCCTCTATGGTGTGGGTTGTCTCTGGGAGATCTTGGGCCAGGCTCTGGGCTGGAGGCGGTGGCTCCCGCAGCCCTGGGCTCTGTTTCCTTGCCCTCCCCGGCCACCCATGCCCACTTACCGTCTGCAGGGGCCAGGGCAAGAGGGCAGAGGGTGACCCACATACCATATGTCTAAATACCCAGAAGTCGTTCCGTCAATGAACAGACTGGTAAACAAAATGTTTTATCGTCCGCCCTGGGCAAGTATATTTTCACCATGACAAAATGGATAAGTATATATAAAGCTAACATGGCAGCAAATATGGAAGACAATTGAATTGAATTTTTACTGTGCATGTCCCTGGGTTCTGTGGGTGGGCTGCGAGTGTTTAGATGAGAGAGAAAAATGAAGACTTGAAGCCTGAACTAAAAGAGGGGCAAATGCACCCTCTGTCCTATGTGGAGTTCAAGAGCGAACAAATGAGTCCACCGGGGTGGGGGGGGTGGGGGTGGAAATCAGCTCGGGGAGGTGGCTTTAACTGCCAAGAGGTCTGAGGTTATGGGGTGTTTGTATCTAGACTGGGGTGTTGCGGAATAGTCGTGCACACTGATCCAAACTCACCCAACTGCCTTTAAAACCAGAGCATCTTATTGTACGTGAAATGACGCCCTAAATACAAAAACCTCAATGATATCAGAATCCTGAGAAACTTAGAACAAACCACACAAATTAAAAGTGTGTCATGCTTCAATTATTACATAGTTATTCTATAAAATCTACTTTTCATGCTATTATGCTAGCAAAATCAATAACTTCATTGTTAAAGTTAAGGATTCTCATATAATTTGTGTTGTATTGACAGTAATGAGCTAAAGTAGCCCTGTCCAGTGGAAATATAGGAGTCACAGATGTGACTAATTGCCATATTTAAAAAAAATAAAAAGAAACTGGTGAAATTAATTTGGGGAGGGAGACACTAGGGATTGAACCCAAAGACACTTAACCCCTGAGCCTTTTTTATATGTTTATTTGGAGACAGGGTCTCACTGAGTTGTTTAGGGCCTCGCTAAGTTGCTGAGGCTGACTTTGAACTCGTGATCCTCCTGCTTCAGCCTCCTGAGCCGCTGGGATTACAGGCATGTGCCACCAAGCCTGGCAGGTGAAATTAATTTTAATACATTTTTTATTCCATTCAAAGTGTCGAAAATGTTATTTCTGGAGGTAGTTGGTATAAAAAATTATTAACGAGATATTTTATGTACTTTTTTATGCTAAGTCTCTGGAATTTGGTGTGTATTTTATACTTACAGCCCGTCTCAATACAAACTAGCCACATTTCAAGTGCTTAACAGTCATAAGTACATAGTGGCTAATGTACTGGATCCCTCATATAAAGGATTTGAGAATAAAATACAGTTTTATGCAGTCCCTGAAATTTGAATGTATTTTCATTAAACATTTAAGTTCAAGTAATACTATAAAATTGAAAAATTATACTCTCATATGTTTTCAAAAAGAATTCAAAATGATCTATTAAAATGAAAAGATGTAATTACATTACAATGAATATTAAAATTTTAAATAAAGTCATTTAAATATCATTGAAATTTATTTTTTGAAAGCGATTTAAATAGTCTTACACATTTTCATAATGATAAAATTGCTCACAACTCTAGCATTTTTGTCTGACCTTTCTTGTTGTAATGAAGGTATTGGGACTTTTACATCTAGGTGTACAAATATTCCATGTGATGATACAACTTGCCAGTGTTGCAAAATGTCCCTCAGCTGCCTCGTCCATGGGAACGAATGCTACAGATCATTCGATGACCTGTGGGTAATTTCAGAATCATCAATTAAAACAGGGAGACAGCTCAGATGGGGACACTTGGCATTATTTGGAAATGATTCTTTGGTTTTCAAGAATTTTTTGCATTCATGTTATCAGCGAGCAAAGATTTGGAAAGCTAATGAATTCATCTTCTTTCTTTTTTAAAAAATATTTACTTTTTTTTTTTTAGGTGTAGATGGACACAACACAATGCCTTTATTTTTATGTGGTGCTGAGGATCGAACCCAGGTCCTGCCCCTTCTAGGCGAGTGCTCTACCGCTGCCACAATCCCAGCCCAACTCCTCTTCTTTCTTACCTAAATACTTCTGCTTCCATATTCTGGGGCCAATGTTACTGGCAGCAGATTCCAGCAACCTCCATGGTATTGGACTCCTACATCTTTTATTTTGAGAACCTAGAGCAGAAGATGGGGGAAGCCTTTTCCCCCTGACTCTCAACATTGTTAATCGAGAGAGCAGATGCTTAGGATTCCGGGCTACACCAGGACAGTGCTGAGCATAATCATCTTGAGTGACAAGAGGGTCCCATGTGTTCTTTAGGGTGTGTGTATGTGCGTATGAGTCCCAGCAGATGGCTGCCATTGAAATAAATGAGAGTTGGAGCACAGCCACGCCCCTTTGTCCATGCTTTTGAGCTGCAAGGGCACAGTAGTTTTAACAGGAATCGCTTGGCCTATATAAGCCTGATATGTTTCTAGCTGGTCTTTTAGGGCACTTGGGAAGGGAGCCCTTTTGCCTGCCTCTGAGTGTTTTTCCTCCTAGGAGACCCTTGAATGGAGCCCTCGTGAGCAAGGGAGGATTTGGTGGAGGCTTCTGCTGCAGTTCCCGGAAAGGTCTGGGAAGGGGGCTGGGAAGGCTTCCCAGAGTAGATCATCCAAATTCGGTTTTGAAGGCTTTGATTGCTTTTTGTAATGACTTTGCTGTTCCTAAAGCACTGGGGACAATCCTCTCTCAACAATGAGGCCAAAGTGAGCAAGTGGTCAGGGCCAGACCCAGAGAATGGTTCTCTGTGCTTCTCCCTTTGACTCAACCTCTCCCTATCCTTCCCCCGAACAGCCAAGAGGGAATTCCCCACAATCCCCCACTTGCCTCTTTAAGAAAGCCACGCCGGCCCTGAGCTCTCTCTTTCTTCTGGCCCCATGACCTGGATGGTGGTGGTAATGGCCAAGGGGTCTGGCCAAGTGTCCTTGGGACTCTGTGTCTGCTCTGGGGAGCATGATCCAACTGAGAAGGTAAGGCCAGTGTGGGGTAAGTAATGGGGCAGTGTGGGGCGGGCATGCTCCCCCTGTGGCAGCAATGGCTATGGTGACACTTTGTTTTTGCATCTGTCTCCTCTCCTAGATGCATCCATCTCGGCCAGCCCCTTTGTGCTTGACACAGGGTGGCTCCATGGTTTGTCGCTACCGTCAGCTATCTTTGGCTCAGGCTGTCTGCCAGGTCCGGGTCGGGGCTGACCCAAATGAATCCAAGAGGTCTGTGCCCTCCCGGAGCTCACAGCCCTGCCAAGAAGCCTGCAGTACACCCTCTCCCTGATCCCTGGAGCCCCGAGGAGAGGCTCCGTCTGAGACTTCCAAGTAGGGCACTATAATTCAGCTTGGAGGGATCAGGAGGCTTCTGCAAAGAGGCGACAAATTGAGCTACTTGTTGAAGGAAAGCGTGAACAAATGAGCCTGATGCTGGCGCTGTGAACTTTAAAAATGTGGGAAGGGATTGCCTCTGAAGTTTTAAATTGAATCCCTTTAGAATATGGCTAGGCTGAAAGTGGGACAGGAGAGGACCGGGGGCGGGGCGGCGTGGAGGGGGGGGGCTGGGGGCTGCTGGGAGCTGAAGACCAAAGCGGCTGCCAAGGGGTGGCCGTGGGGCTTCTGCCCCGGCTCTTGCCAGCAGTCCCTGCAGACAGCCTCAGCTCCCAGCCTAGGGAAAATGGTTGCTTCTTGTGCAAGAGGGATGAGCTGTCACTGCTGGAGGACAAATCTCTTTTAATTTTGTCCTCCAGAGGAAGGGGTGGGGCTGGGCCGGCAGTTGGAGCAAGAGATTGGCTCAGTGAGCAAGAGCCTGCTGGCTCCACTCACCACCAGGTGAGGGATGAGAGGAGAGACACCCCCTCCCCTTGCCTATTCTGGGCCTGGCCACCAGGGGACAGGGAGGGACCGTTCTGGGCTTGGCTTCTCCAGAGATGCAGGCGCTGGAAAGTTTCTTAGGAACCATCCAACAAGGGCTTCTGAAGGTGGCCTCCACGGAGCTTTAAGGGGAGCCCTCAGGGGGGACCCTCAGTGGGCCGGCCACTCCTGCTGAATAGCGTGTGGAATGTTCTCGGAGTCAGAAAATTTTTAAGACATGGTGGGTGCATGGTGGGAGGGTTAATGTTTTCCTCAGCTTCTTGAAGGGGACCATGACTCACCCAAGTTAAATCTCCTAGAAGCTTCCTTTCTGCATGTTAGATGTGGAAGGGACGGGGCTCATCTGGTGTCACATGGGGTAGGGGGTCCTGTAGGGTCTCTGGAGCCTCTGGCTAAGCAGGTGCATTGAAGGAATTGAACTTGAACCCAGGGCTCCTGAGGGTCCTTTACATACCCTTCTCCTTGTGAACCGAGAGGCAGAAGGACTGGGGCTAAGAGGCAGGAACCAAACCAGAGGTCGAGGCAAAGTCTGGTGTGCACAGCTGTCCCTCCTACTCCCCCAGAGGATCTGAGGAGCCGGGAGGGGGCCTGACGTTGGAGGAGACAGACAGAGAGCACCTCCTCTTCTGGGCTGCCATCAGCCTGATCTCTGTACACCCTCAGGGGACACCTGGAGAGGCCGGGGAGGGGAGGGGGGGGGAGGGGAGGGCAGCCCCCTCCCCTCCATACCCTGGTGCTGGAAACTTTAAAACTGTGGATAGGATGGCTTCTGAAGTTCTGGAATGAAGCCCGCCTTTGTCCCTGCTTTAATTTTCTTGTCGCTCTGGGAAAGACGCATCTCTGCATTGGCCTCAGTTTCCCCATCTGTTAAGTGGGAAATCATCATAGTAGCAACACTTCTTAGCCAATGAGGCCTGAAGACAAGAGGGAGGGCATGGAAGCCCTTTGACGCTCATGGAGAACAGATGGACGAGTTGTAGACAAGGACTTCAAAAGGTTACAATAGGAAGACATGGTGGTGGGAGAGGGGTGGAAGTGATGGGGAGGACCAGGAGAAAGATGAATCTGGTCAATAAAATTTGTAGGAGGCCATTGATTTGGACTAGGCTTCTGTATTGGGCCCAATGGACCAAACCAATATGGGGTCACTCATGCTCAATGAGACTAATGAACTTAGGAGTGTACTCATGTAACAAATCACTGGGTTCCAGTCAATTACAGCAGCTGAGCTGTAGTCAATGGTAGGTGGCCAACTGATCTGAATAATACCAACGCCAAGCCAATTAAGCTCTCTATGTCACTGCGGTCTCTATTGTCACTTCTGTTTTCTCTCCATAAACACTGCCTGAACACATGGCCACCCTGGAGTTCTTTGAACCTGTTCTGATTCTGAGGCCCGCCCAATTCCAGAATCATGAATGAAAGACACGTAGGGACTTTAAGCTAAGTGTGTAGTAATTGGAACCTTGGATAAGTCAAGACTGGCTTGAGGTGTCTATGGACAGTCTTCCACCTTCGCTGGTTCAACCTACAACTTTTCCATTTCGTGATGGTGTGAAAGCAGTAGACATTCAGCAGGAACTGTACTCTGAATTTTGAATTTTGATCTTTTCCCAGGCTGGAGATATGCAGTCAGATGCACAGTCAAGATGCTGAGCAGAATAGCAAGCAGTGGGGGGGGGGCCCAGGCCACTATGTGATCATGAGGGGGACACGCTATACAATGGATGATGTTGCTAAGCTGTGGCATTGGGTAGCTTCGGTGGATTCGGTGAATTTTCAATTTACTCGAAATTTTCAACTTCCGATGGGTTTATCAGGACATGGCTCCATTGGAAACAGATGCACACCCAAAGTTACTGCTTTCTTGGAAGCAGTGACAGCAGCATTTGACAGAGCCTCCTGTGGGGTGGCCTGTGGCTTGGGAGGGGAGTGGGGAAGTTGGGTTTTACCTGTGTTCCAGCCCAGTCCTGACTGCATTGGAATGAAGACACCTCCTTAGAGGAGCTGCTGAGGCAGGAGGTTTAGGTGTATGATCTGACTCCTGGGGACAGGGGTAGGATTCAAGTTGTTCAGCTACCTAAAGCTGAATTCGGTGGAAGGGGGACCACTAAGGGTGCTGGGAGGTAAGGCTGGGAGGGTCTGGGAAGGCTCCTTGGAAGAAGTAACTTGTGGGCTGGCACACAAGGATTCCAGAAGCACCATGGAGAGAGGCACCCCCCCCAGGTGGAGGGGCCAGCAGGGTGTAGCCCGAGCTTCCCCATCACCAGCCACCATTTTTTTCTTGGACCACATCAGAAGTGAGGAGACATATGATGTGACTCATGGCCCATCAGACTTTCTAACCTTTGGTTCTTGCAGGTGCAAGTACTGACCAAGGTCTCATCCCAGTGGGTGCCCCCAGGAGGCCTGCCAGCCGTGGCCATCCAAAGAAACGCGTTCCGAAGCTGCCTCTCCATCCCCAGGAAGACTGCAGAGCTGGGCTCGGCTCTGGGCTGCTCTCTGCCATACTCGCCTGTTTGCCACTTCGCTGCAGAGCAGATGGATGACACAGAGGCACCATTTTTCTCCCACAGCAGCGGGAAAATGAATCTCGCCAAGTGTTGCCGACACCATCCTACCAGGTTCCACATCCATCGCCAACCGGGGCTGCTGACAGAGCACAGGCCCATTCCTCAGCCCTGCGCTGGGGCCCAGGGGAGAGAGGGGCGAACATTTAGCATCTCTCTCTTGCTCACGGCAGTCCCTTGGCTCCCCGCAGATCCATCCGTTGCCCGGGGCTGCCCAAGGCTTTTGTTGCTGCAGACCTGGTGCTTGACATCTCTTGGGAAGGGAGGCTCCAGGACAGGCAGAAGGTGGGGGCAAAGAGGAGGTACCAGGTACACAACCTTGCAGCATGACAAAGGGCATCAGTCACCAAAATGCCCAAAGCCAAGTCTGTCTGGGAAGGAGGCATCAGGGAACATGGAAGATGGAACGTGGTCGGGAGCCCTGCATTTGAATTCTGCTCCTAGGATCTAGGACCTTGGACAAGCCTGGATCTTGGTTTCTTTCACTATTGGACTGGATTCCTTCCAGTGCTAGGGACTGGTGATTCCAGACCAAACACATGTGTTGTGATTTTAAAGACATGGTACTAATTATTGTTCACCATTTACTGAGCACTTACTATGGGGCTTAAGCAATATGGAGAAGATCGCTGATCTCCATGATGACCTTGGGAAAAAGTCCACTTCAGTCCCATTTCATGGTCTGGGTGACTGAGATACTGATAGGACAGTAGTAAGTAGCAGAACCGACATTAAAACCCAGCCCTCTTGACATCGATGTCCTTTCTTCCTACTACGTGACATGACCATCTCGGGGAGCAGACACTCTTGGGAGCCTGGGCCATAGGGAAACTCAATAAAGGAATAAGTGATTGAAATGAGGGATTTGAGCAGCTTGAGAGAGCCCTTTAGGAAGGCATTTTATTCGAAGATTCAGGAGACATCCAGTGTGACTTCATCTCTCATCCATTCTGTCCCCTTCCTGCCTCATGACCATCTTTCTAAAACCCATTGGGATAATCTGCTTGGACCACTCTCAGTTTAAAAGTCTCCATTGGCACACATTTGGGTCAAGGAAAGATCTAAATTCTCATTGCTCTGCCATGCCAGCTTGCTCGTGGAACTCAGTGGAAGAATCCTTGGGGCTTCCCAATTCCCCAGATCCTTTCTCACCTCTGGGTCTTCTCTGGTGTCTGGATCCCCTCCCCTTGCCAGCGTTAGTTCTCTGTACGTTGTCCCAGAGGGAGTGTGGCACCTTACTAATGCCTTTCCTATCTACTCAGCCACTAAACTTGTGCCTTCCCCACCCCCACCCTGGGAAGCTGTCCGGGTGAGAAGGTGCAGCCTCTTTTTCCAGGACAGAGGTGCAGTAGCAGGTGGGACCTGAGCCATTGGGGCAGGTGTTCTTCTCACCTGCTCTGTATGCTCAGCTGTCCTCCTGCCTGCCGGGTGACAGTAGGTGATGGTGGGTGGGAGACACAGCTGGTTAGCTGGACGCCTGCAGGAGCTCTTCATGGGCTCCCAGGAGGACGATAGAACCTCCTTTCATTCACTGGATTCTAGCAGAAGGATGGGGAGCACCATCTTCCACATCCAATCATCCTGCTCCCATTCACAGCCATTTTGTCTGGGGCTGTGTTATGGGCTAGCTGGGGCTAGAGATTTTATTTGGGTTTGTGGTGGTGTTACTGCTACTCCTGCTGAGATGAGTGGGTGGCCTTGTTTACTGCTCATAGGAGTCCCTGGCCTGGTGAGGTGGTGGGTGCATGGCTGGAATCATGAGCAGCCCCGGAGGCTGAGGCAGGAGGATTGTTGAGTTCAAAGCCAGTCTCGGCAACAGTGAGGTGATGAGCAACTCAGTGAGACCCTGAGCAAAAATAGGGCTGGGGATGTGGCTCAGTGGTCGAGTGCCCCTGAGTTCAATCCCTGGTACCAAAAAAAAAAAAAAAAAAAAGAGTGCCCTTCAGGTGTGACTTGGGGAGGCTCCTAGGGGGGCCCTGGGGGTACAGGAGTGGGTGAGAAGTGCACACTCCCCCAGCCCTTTTTCAAGTTCCTGGCCTTTGTAGAGCCAGGCCACTTTGAGAAGAAAATGAAATGCAGAAAACCTGGTGTGAAATCGTGCACACTCACACTCCCTTTAGATGCCATTTTGGGAGTCTGTGGGCACCTGAAGCCCTTCCACAAGCTTCTAGTGAGAGCCCTGTTCCGAGGCTCCAATTCCAACCCCTCAGCCAGGCCTCCCTTCCGGTGCCTCTGACAGCAGTGGAGTCCCCACCTGGGAGTCTCCCACGCCAGCCGTCCTTCCCCGCCCCCAGCCTGGGTCCTGAGCCCTGAGCCAGGGTCCTGGCTCCTGCTGAGCCGGGGACTGCCTCCAGCTTCCTCGGACTCAGGGCCCAGGTGGGGAGTGGTGTGGGCCCCAGGAGCTTGCTGTGTCAGGCTGCCCCTCCACCCTGAGAGGGTGACGCCCCCGAGGGTGCACTCCACCACCCACTTCCCCGTAAGTGGAAGAGGGTGGGACCTCCGGCCCTGCTCCCGCCCCCTCACAGCTCAGCGTGGATCTCAGGCACACACACCTATGAAGTTCCTTCTGGTGTGTGGGGGATACAGTGCTAAATAAAGCAAGGTCCCTGCTCCCGTGAGAGTGACACAGAACTAGCTAAATAGGATGTCTCAGGGGCTGGCAGATTCCTTGAGGACCCTGATGGAAGATGCTAGAATGGAGGGCTGCTGTCTCTGGTAGAGGGCTCAGTGGGGGGCGCTCGGGGGAGCAGAGCTGGGCAGAGCTCAGATCACTGGCTCTTCCCACTTGTCCCCTGGTCCTGGGCAAAACGGACTCAGGGGCCCATGGCCTTATCTGGGTCTGGGAGGGGACAAGGAGGAGACAGATTCCTGGATGTGCTTTGGGGACCCAGGGCCATAGTTGGTGCATCTCCCTGGACACTCCAGGGTCAAGGACATAGTCCACCAGAAGAGACAAAGTCCCAAAGAAGAGGGCAATTGTAGCTGAGGCTGTCTCTCCCTGGTCATATCCTGCTTTGGAAAGGGACCCCCCCACCTGGCAACCCCCGGAGGTCCCCAGCTCCTCTTCTGTCACCCGATGGCAGGGACCTCTCCCTCTGGAAGGGGCCAGGCTGGTGGGCCTGGAAGTCTCTGACCCAGTGATGGCCCTGCCTGGGGGCACTGAGATGCAGGTCCTGGAGGAGGAGAGGGACGGAAGGATGGAGTGGGAGAGGTGTCAGCTGTCCAGCTGGTTGTGTGCTCACCAGCCTGTGGACACAGCCCAGAGACAGGCCAGCAGGAGATAAGCCCCCTACCGCTGGCCTGGGCCTTATCTCAGCCCTGCAGATAGACATCTCCATCTAGCTGGACGCTGAGGCCCACAGTGACTCTTGGGGCCCTGTGCCAGGCTGAGGAGGGGACGGGGCTGAGTGTGGTTCCCTGGTGTGTCTTGAAGGAAGGTCTGGTGCCTGACAGCTCTTGGAGAAGAATGTTCTAGGATAGGGAGCAGCTGAGGAGCAAGGAGAAGGAACCAGGTTCAGACCTGCTACCTCCGCACTTGCGGGAGGGCCTGACCCTGTGAACAGAGTCCAGGGACCTACATTTCCTAAGCAATGCTTTGCTGTCACCTGGACCAATGGATGTCCACTCCCATGCACCAAAGGTTCAGTTCAGGCACCTCACTTTAGGGTAATTCCAGGGACGAGGCACCATCAGGAAGGGTCTCTTGAAGAAGGTTTTAAAGGTCTCTCTCCCTGCCACCAGCTCACCATCATCCCTCTTTTGAGATGTCAGACAAATTGTTCCAGCTCTTCCTGCCCTGACCCAACAAATCATCAGTATCTTTCTTTTGGGGGATTTCCAATGTCTTCTCAAAATCACTGAAGTGCCCCCGAGAAATTACTCAGCTCAGATGGAAGTCCTGCCCCTAAACCCCAAACCCAAACAAGCAACAGTAGTTGGAGTAGCAGATGGGAGGGTCGGATCCGACCTCTAGGCCATACGACTTTAGCAGATTCGTCTTTCTTTGGAAAATGACAGACGACTAGCTCATATTTGCTGAGGGGAGCTGGGGGCTGGCCATTTTCTGTTTTTCACGTGTGGCAACTCATTTAATCCTTGCAAGAATTCTAGCAGGTCGGTGAGGATTTCACTGACCAGGGGCCCAAGTTCAAGGAGAAATCAGTTTGGTTTCTTCTGTGGCCCAACCAGAGTAAGCCTGAGTCCCCCAGCTGCCTTTTCCTTCCGGCCTCCTCTGGTAGGGCTCTCCATCTCCAGGATCTTGGTCCCTCTCCTCCCAGAAGACTTGTTGGCTGTCATGCAGAGAATATCCTCCCAGAGAACCAGGGGTTCCCCTGAATGAGGGATTCCGTCTCCAGGTTCCACCTCACCAGGCACCAGCCCCAAATAAATCATTTCATTAGAGTTAATCACATAGTCCCTTTAACTGAAAAGTGCTTCCGAATAGAGGGCTCTCTAGTCAGAGTTAATGAACAGATAAGAATCTTTGTAATTAACTCAGTGATGGCTTGCATGGTAATGGACGTTCTTCTAAAGCTGCAGGACTATTTGTTTATTGCTGTAAGTATAGGGTAGACATGCTCCTGGCCACCCTCTCTCTGACGAGCTCCTGTACACACAAGGACCCCTCAAGGTTATTTATGCACAGCCCCTCCTTGCAGAGACTATAACCCTCCTTGGTTATAGTACAGCTCAGAGGGCTGCCTGGCTTGGCTCCAGTCCCTCTCCATCGGGGCCACCCCCTCCTTTACTTGCAATACTGGCTGCCACCCTGTGACTTGTGCTTTCCTATTCTCTTTTCTGCACTGATTATATAGTCAGGTATGAGCAGCCTGTTTATTACTGCACTGGAGCTGTGGGGCTCCGTCCGCCCATGTGCGTGTGCGCATGTGTGGAGTGTGCGCACGCATTTGCGTGAGAGTCTGGTGGGGAGCGAAGAGGGTGCTCTGAGAGTTTGCGTTTGTGATACTTTCTGCATGCGTGCGAGGAATGCGCGTGCCAGGAGCGCGTGTGCCAGGAGCGCGCGTGCCAGGAGCGCGCGGGCCTGTGCTCCTCTTGCAGCAGAGCATTTTCTCATCTTCTGACAAAGCCTGCCCTTGGGCCACTTAAGGCCACAGGTGCTTTGTTATGTCTTCATGGAGTGGAGTTTTCTGGGGTGGAGGGTCATTGGAGAGTGCCTAGGGAAGCCACCCTGCTGGAATGTTCTTTCCTTTCCCTCCTTTCCTCTGTTCTCAGGAGGCACTTCCGCCCCGTGGGCTACTCAGTGCAGCCCCCACTCCCTTGGTGGTGAGGTCTCCATGCGGATGAATCTGGAGCTGAGCCTGGGGGATGGGGACACACTTCAGAAGGAGGACCCCTACCTGGTGTGCAGGTGTGAGTGTGTGGGTGCGAGTGGGCTGTGTGGGCAGGGCGTAGGGAGACAGCCTGGGGACACTGTCCCAGCTTCCTGTCAGCACTGATGAATTGCATCCCACCAGGGGTGGGCTCAGCTCCCTCTGCCTCTAGGAGGGTGGAGTGGTGCCAAGGTGGAGGCGGCTGGTAAATAATAAGGAGCAGCGGAGAAGGGGCCGGAGGAGGAGGGATCCTTTCTTGCCACCTCCCACCATCTTGAACCTCCAAGGCTCCCTCCCTTCCTCCCTTCCTTTCTGCTCTAGGGGGGTCCTCTCAGGTGGAGTCACCCTTTCAGGACAGGAGCGGAGCTGCTCACCTCCACTGCAGTCCCAGGACCCGCGGGCTTTTCCTTTTCTCCCAGAATTCCTCCTGGTTGGCAGGCTCCCTCCTGGTGGGAGAAGTTCCTGGGAGCAGCCATCCAACAACCATTGGAAACACTTGTCATGGAGGAGGAAGAAAGTCGTTCTAG